TCCTTCTAGGAATCCCAGAATTTGCTTAATTCACCCCAAAATCCTTCTAGGAATCCCAAAATCTGCTCGTTTCATCCCAAAATCCCCTTAGAACTGCAAAAATTGGGGAGTTTCATCCCAAAATCCCTCTTGGAATCCCGAAATCCCTCTTGGAGCCCCAAAATCCTTCTAGGAATCCCCAAATCTGCTGATTTCACCCCAAATCCTGCCGGGTGTCTCCGGGGCTTTTGTGACCCCAAATGTTCCCAACGCCCCCAGTGTCCCCAGTGTCCCCATTGCTGTCCCCAGTGTCCCCATTGTCCCCAGTCCCCCCAGGGTCCCCAATTCCCTCAGTGTCCCCAATGTCCCCATTAATGTTCCCAATGTCCCCAATGTCCTCATTGCTGTCCCCAATGTCCCCAATGTCCCCAATCCCCCCAATGTCCCCCCATTGTCCCCATTGCTGTCCCAATGTCCCCAGTGTCCCCAATGTCACCATGTCCCCCTGATGTCCCCAATGTCCCCATTGCTGTCCCCAATGTCCCCTGGGGGGAATTTCCTGGAGGTTTCGGGATTTTTCTTGGAGGTTTGGGGTCCCCTCCACAGAGTTTTGGGGTCCCCCAAGGAGTTTTGGGGGCATTTTGGGAAGGTTTGGGGTCCCCCCAAGGGGTTTTGGGGCGATTTTGGGGTTCCCCCAGGGGTTTTTGGGGGGATTTTGGGGAAGTTTGGGATCTCCCCTAAAGGGTTTTGGGGTTTTTCGTGGAGGTTTGGGATCCACCTGGCCACACCTGGGTCCCTTTTTGGGGGGATTTGGGAGTCCCCAGACACCTGAATCCCTGAAAATGGGATTTTTGGGATCATGTGGGCATCCAAATCCTTGGAAATTGGGATTTTGGGGATCCTGTGTACATCTGAATTCCTGAAAATGGGATTTTTGGGATATTCTGGACAACTGAAACCCTGGGATGGCATTTTGGGGGTCCCCTGGACATCCAAATCCTTGGGAATGGGGATTTTGGGGATCACCTGGATACCTAAATCCTTGGAAAATGAGATTTTTGGGAGCTTCTGGACACCTGAATTCCTGAAAACGGGATTTTTGGGATCATCTGGGCATCCAGATCCTTGGAAATTGGGATTTTGGGGATCACATGTACACCTCAATCCTTGGAAAAATTAGATTTTGGGATCTTCTGGTCACCTGAACCCCCTGGGAATCGGGATTTTGGGAATCCCCTGTACACCTGAATTCCTGAAAATGGGAATTTTCGGATCCCCTGCACACCCATCCCCGTGAACTGGGATTTTGGGGATCCCCCCAACCCCCCAAAACCGAGAACATTTTCCTCCCCGACGCCCCCGACGCCCCGAATTCCCGGCAGGTGAACTACACGCAGCCGGTGGTGGCCGTGCAGTTCTCCAACGCCACGGGGGGTTTATTTTTAAATTTTTTGGGGTTTATTTGATGATATTTTGGTTCATTTGTTGATTATTTGGGTTTATTTTATAATTTTTTGGGTTCATTTGTTGATTTTTGGGTTTCATTTGTTGATATTTTGGGTTTATTTCATTATTTTTTGGGTTCATTTTATTATTTTTTGGGTTTGTTTGATGATATTTTGTTGATTTTTGGGTTTATTTGTTGAGTTTTTGGTTCACTTGTTGATTTTTTTTGATTTTTGGGTTTATTTGATGATTTTTGGGTTTCTTCGATGATATTTTGGTGATTTTTGGGTTCATTTAATGACTTTTTTGGTTCATTTGTTGATATTTTGGTTATTTTTTTGTTTATAATTTTTTGGGTTATTTTATGATTTTTGGGTTCATTTGTTGACATTTTGTTGATTTTGGGGTTTATTTGTTGATTTTGGGGTTTATTTTATAATTTTTTGGGTTTATTTGATGACATTTTGGTGATTTTTGGGTTCATTTGTTGATATTTTGGTGATTTTTGGGTTTATTTTATAATTTTTGGGTTTATTCGATGATTTTTTGGGTTTATTTGTTGATATTTCGGTGATTTTTGGGTTCATTTGTTGATATTTTGGTGATTTTTGGGTTTATTTTATAATTTTTGGGTTTATTCGATGATTTTTTGGGTTTATTTGTTGATATTTCGGTGATTTTTGGGTTCATTTGTTGATATTTTGGTGATTTTTGGGTTTATTTTATAATTTTTGGGTTTATTCGATGATTTTTTGGGTTTATTTGTTGATATTTCGGTGATTTTTGGGTTCATTTGTTGATATTTTGGTGATTTTTGGGTTTATTTTATAATTTTTGGGTTTATTCGATGATTTTTTGGGTTTATTTGTTGATATTTCGGTGATTTTTGGGTTCATTTGTTGATTTTTCGGGTCTATTTGTTAATTAGGCCACGGGGGGGGGCTGGGCCCTTAATGAGCCTTAATGAGCTCGTTAGCGCCGCCAGGCCACGGGGTCCCCTCCCCCCCGTGACGTCATCGGGAGGGCGGGGCCACGGCAGTGACGTCATCGGGAGGGGCGGGGCCACCAAAACCGCCCGAACTTCCCTCCCCCAATGAACCAATTAAACCCCGCCCCAATTAACCCCTAATTAACACCCAGATGAACACTCCCCAATTAACAGCCCCCTAATTAACACCCCAAATTAACACCTCTCAATTAACAGCCCTCTAATTAACACCCCCAATTAATATCCCCCCAAATTAACACCCCTCAATTAACATTGCCCCCAATTAACACGCCCTTAATTAACACCCCAAATTCCCTTCCCCTAATGAACCCCCTAATTAAGACCCCCCAATTAACAGCTCCTAATTAACACCCCCATTAAGACCCCCAATTAATAAGTAACAATAAATCATTAACAACACCCCTAATTAACAGTCCCCAATAAACGTTTCGCTTCCTACCAGCCCCTAATTAACAGCTGCTAATAGAGATCGCCAATTAATAATCCTCTAATTAATAACCCCCATACAAAGCCCCAGTTAATACACCAAGAGACTTCTCAATTAACATTGTGCTTAATTAATAGTCCCTAACAGAGACCGATCTGATTACCTGACCATAATTAATAACTCTTAATGAACCCCTTAATTAATCCCCCAATTAAAAGTCTTTAATGAAGGCCCTAAATCACCCCCCATTTATTAGCCCCTAACAGAAACACTTCTAATTAACGGTGTCTAATTAATGACTATCCCTGATTACAACACCAATTAATAACTAATATTGATCCCTCTAATCACTAATTAATGATCACTGAGACCCCAATTAACCCCCATTGAGATCCCCTAAGAGAACGCTTCTAATTAAAGGAATAATCACAATAATGTTAATTAATCATCCCTAACACCCCTCCCCAATTAACCCCGTCACTTAACAGCTCTCAATTAACACCCCATTTTAATTAACACCCCCCAGACCCCCCAAATTAACCCCTCATTAACCCCCTCTTAATTAACCCCCCGAACTAATTCCTCCCCATTAATTAACCCCCTCTTAATTAAACCCCCGAACGAATTCTTCCCTATTAATTAACCCCTCTTAATTAACCCCAAAAACTAATTCTTCCCCATTAATTAACCCCCCCGAACTAATTCCTCCCCATTAATTAACTCCCTCTTAATTAACCCCCCTGAAATAATTCATCCCTCTTAATTAACCCCCCAAATTAGCACCTCCTCATTAATTAACCCCTAATTACCCCCCGGAATTCCAACCCCCCCCCCCAAATTCCCATTTTCGGACCAAACCACCCCAAAATCCCCCCCCGCTCATTAATTACCCCGTTAATCACCCCTCCCTCCCCCACCGCCTGCATTCATTAATCAATTCGCTAATTACCCCAAACTGGGACCCCAGTCCCTCCCAGTTACCCCAAACTGGGAGCCCCAGTCCCTCCCAGTTACCCCAAACTGGGATCCCAGTCCCTCCCAGTTACCCCAAACTGGGAGCCCCAGTCCCTCCCAGTTACCCCAAACTGGGATCCCAGTCCCTCCCAGTTACCCCAAACTGGGCTCCCAGTCCCTCCCAGTTACCCCAAACTGGGAGCCCCAGTCCCTCCCAGTTACCCCAAACTGGGA